CATCAACCCCAAAGCTGCCTGATTACATATTGACCTGCAGACAGAGTGAATCCAGTGGAGCCAGCCTGGCCCCTTAGGAAAACTTCAGGCTGTTCATTATGGCCCAGGATGAGCTCACTGGCAGATTAACTCCATCCTCACCACTTGTGATGCTAAAAGCCCTCAGTGCTCGCAGTGAAGCCTTCAGTGATTTACAAGTTTTCCATGAAAATATGGACCACTGGGTCCTTTTACGTGGTGCAAAGTGTTTAGGACTTGTTGCAATCTCATATATGCTCCTGTTGAGGAGCTGGAGAGCTCAGGAGAGGTTTCTATTGGCTCTGGATGTGGGATGGAGGAGGGCTGGGTGGTCTCCATCCCTGCAGATGATCCTGACAATAAAGCAGGAATTTCATACTTCCCTGTCAAGCCTCAGTCCCACTAAGGAGGAGGCTTTGAGTTCAGGGGGACATCAGGGAAGTGAGGAGTTTGCTTGGAAAGGAACAGAAATCCCTTGGTGAGATCTGCCATGTGAATTTCAGGAATTTTCTTTTGCAGAAATCTTGTCCATATGATGCTTTTTAACATTTAAATCACCAATAATAACAATAATGCAGATTTTCCCATGTCCAGCCCAGAGCTCCCTTTGACCCCAAACATGAGTTTTCTCAGAGTCTGCTGCCTGTTTTTTTATTGAGGAGTGTGTTTTTCATACAGAAATGCAAGAAAAATAGGAATAAGTATGGCAAAAGCCTTACCTGTATCCAGCTCCCCCTTTGCACTATCACTGCACTCAAACAATGGGCAGAGAGAGACTCAGTAGTGAACCAGGTTTCCTGTGACTCCAAGTGCCATCCCAGAAATTCCAGGTGTCCCATTTATAGCTCGGAAATGTTTCTGGGATTCTGTAAACTTGCTCTAATTTCCAGCCTAATTTTTAAGCAGTTTGTCCCACTTGTTCTCCTGCCAAAGAATTCCATTAACCAAAACACCTCTCAAGCCTCACCTGGTTCTAATTTTGCTTCCTTCCTTCCTGAATCCATCAGGATTTTGCTGAGAGCTCCCCCCTTTTTGGGTAAACCAGCCCCCAGTCTCAGGTTTGCAGCAAAGGCCTTGCATTGACTCCTTTCTCACAATTCCAGAGTCACTGCTGGAATTCCTAAAAAGCCAAGTTCTTCCTTGCAAATCAGTTGATTCCAGCTTCTTATAGATTAGCTGGAGCTGATAAACTTGGCATTAGGAACCAGGCACAGGTATTATCCCTTCCCTTGTCAGCTCCAGCCAAATCACAAGAGATCTGCAAAGATTTACAGAAATCTGGTTGGTTGGGATTTTTCCTGCCTCCTGCCAGCTCTCCTTGCCAGTTTGACCACTTGCCCACTCATCCTCCAAGAAGAGTGAGTCAGCTTGGCAAAAAATTAATAAATAAAATATTCCAAGCCAGTCCCAGCGTGGACTCTCTGCCCTGACCCAAACTGGACCCTTGGGACTGAAAAGCCATAAACCATCCTGGCCATCACCCCTCTGGCTCTTCCCAGCCCTATCCTTGCTGAAATACCCTCTCCCAGTTCACCTTGGATAGTGAAGTGCACTAAAACCCTGGAATCATGGAATGGTTTGGGTTGGAAGGGACATTAAAGCTCATCTTGTTCTACCCCCTGCCATGGGCAGGGACACTTTCCACTAGACCAGGTTGCTGGATTCATCCCAGCTGGAGGAGGAGGCTGAGGATGCTCAGAGGTGGGAGGAATTAAACAGCTCCTCTTGCATCACTCTTCCCTTCATCCCATCATGAGCCCACCGGAAGAAGATGATCTTTAAGGTCCCTCCCAACCCAAACCATTCCATGATTCTATGATTCATAGGGAAGGATCCAGCCTTATTTTGACTGTGGTTTCCAGCAAAAATCTATGGCAGCACTTAGGGCAGGAGAAGAAGAGTGATCAGATCAGGTCCTGTCCATGTGTCATGGAGAAAAACCTGCTTTGCAAGGAAATAAACTCAGGCAATTAACTGGGAATTAAGATTTAGCGGCCGCCACGAGCAGCAGGAACGTGTAGAGGAGACAGCTGTTAAATTTGGGATGTGACAAAGTCATGCAAGCACTAACTGGATTACTTGCATTTATTTGGGAATACTGATGTATTTTATTATGCAACATATAGATCACTATAATTCTGCTTTTCACTCCACTGGCGGCTCCCCCCCCCCCCGAGTGTCTTAGGGAGCTTTACAAACAATTAAGCTGCGCTTTCCATCCGCTTTGGGGGAATCCAGGGTATTTGGGATCGGAGATGGCTTAATTAATGGGATTGATTTTTAACCCTCTCTGAGCCAAAGCCTCGAGTTTTAGCTTTCAAAAGTTCACTGCTCTTCCTGGGCTGATCGTGGGATGAACTGGCCCAGAGGTCACTGGAGAGAGTTTTCCAGGGACACAAATGCATTGGTCCCTCCAGGGATGGTGATTTTAACCCATTTAGGTTGGACATCAGGAGTAATTTCTCCATGGAAAGGGTGCTCAGGCATTAGAAGGGGCTGCCCAGGGAGGTGGTGGTGTCCCTGAAGGTGTCCAAGGAACAACTGGAAATGGCACTCAGTGCTCTGGGCTGGGTGACAAGGTGGGGATCAGGCACAGTTTGGACTTGATGGTCTTGGAGGGCATTTCCAACCTCACTGATTCTGGGATTCTGTAAAGGGAGGGGATGATAAATCCTGGAGAGAGGAGCAGAGCTTGGGAGATCCCACAATCCCAGAATTGGGTGATAGCTCCATGTGTGCTCCTGCTGCTCTGCAGACACCTCCATGTGTCCCCACGACCCTTGGAGATGGCACAAGCTGCTGTTCAGCACTTCCAGCCTCCTTCCCTGGCAGGCAGTGACAGATAAGTGCCTCCAGTTGCCTCTCCAGGGAAGAGTTTCAGGAGGCAGAGTGTAATCCTGCCTGCTGAGTTCAGTCCAGACGCTCTCAGACGTTATTAATCCTTTGTACCAAACCAGCAGGGACCTGCAGCCTGCTCTAGGAATGTGCTGCAGGATGGGAGGGACAGGCTCATCCGCAGTTTTCAGTCCAGGAGACAGCAAGGGGATAGATGGATGAAGGACCTTTGGATCCACATCTCTGGGAGGCTCTCATGGAAGGTGTCAGATGTTTAACAACCTCAGTGTCAGTATCTGAATTTCAAGCCTCAAGTGGCCCCATCTTTGGTACTGGGGGGGTTTAATCAGTGGGTCTGATGTCCCAACCTTTCCCACAGACCACGTTGTGCCAAAAGTGTGGCCTAGAAGAGAGCTGGAGAGGGACTTTGGGCAAGGGCCTGGAGTGACAGGACAAGGGAAACTGCTTCCCACTGCCAGAGGGCAGGGTTAGATGGGATACTGGGAAGAAATCCTTTCCTGTGAAGGTGGAGAGGCCCTGGCACACATTGCCCAGAGAAGCTGTGGCTGCCCCATCCCTGGAAGTGTCCAAAGCCAGGTTTGACAGGGCTTGGAGCAACCTGGGCTAGTGGAAGGTGTCTCTGCTCATGTCAGGGGGTCGACCTGGGTAATCTTTAAGGTCCCTTCCCACCCAAACCATTCCATGGTTCTATGAAAAACAGGAGCAGTTTGTGCCTCCTCTCCTAGCAGTTTGCTTCACCTCCTGCTTGGAGCATCCCTGCTCCTCCTAAAAGAGAAGTGGGATACCTGCCAGGGAATGGGCTGCAACATGTTTGTCCACTCCTCTAACCCTGCACGAGTGTTAAGCAAAGAGAGCACTGGACTCAAGGTGGGTAAAAAACCATTTCAGCCCAATTTTTGGTTGCACTGGTCACAGAGGACCTGTGGGACCTGCAACAGCATCACCACAGCCCTTCTACCACCTTCAACAGCTCTAGAAAACAGGTTGGATCCACTTGCAGGGCTGTTCCAAATAAGCCCATTGAGGTAAATAAAGCACTTATTAAAGCAAGGACACCTGGAAAGTGTCAGCACTGGAACACAAGTGATGGCACCGGGAGCAGGAACCAGGCGTCTCTCCGGGCTCAGGGAGGTGACAGCACACAGTCACACACCCCCTGTTTCATAGCCCTGGTTTGTGCCACACGATGGGATGCCAGGCACATTCCTGGCCCTGTTTTCCATTTCTAGGAGCCTGTCAGGAGTGGCACTCCTCCCCGCACAGATGTCGGGAAATTAGAGGGAATTCAGAGAGCAGCAGAAAAAAAATGATTAAAGGAGATGGAGGGCCTGATTTTGGAGGGAAAAGAAATCAGCTGAGCTATTTATAGTGCTGCCTGCACCGGGGTGGGAACAGGAATTTTTAAAAGTGCCTGGATAGCTCGGATAAGGGGAAGGGACAAACCAGCCTCCGGAGGATGCTCGCAGAGAGGCTGTGTGAGGGTGTAAATCCGGAGTGATGGGATGAAATGCCATCAAACACGAGCATTTGGGGAATCATTGGTGAGTGCAGGGGACAGTTGTTCATCCAGAGCGAAAAGAATGCCCTGAGAAAGATGTGTTAAGGGGTGGTGGAGGTGGTACCAGTGCCAAACCCCCGTTCCAACCTCTGCTCCCAGTATTTATTTACATCCAGCGTTTTACGCAAAACGTGGGGGTGGGGATGGAAATCTTCCTCTTTGCATCCCAAAGCAAGTGGTTTTGGTTAAAAAAAAACCAAACCAGCTTTAAATTCAGGCCTTCAGCTCCAGAGGCTTGTGGGAGATGCACGGAGAGGCTGCCGGGCTGGGATCCCCCACGGAGGGATGTGGGATGGAGGGGACCAGCCTGCTCCGGGGTGATGCATCCCTGGGGGAACAAAGCATCCTGCTCCTGTTTCCAAACTGATTTCCAGGCTGGGAAGCAGCTCATGAACATCTTGTTGCTGTAACATCCCTCATTCCTCAGCGAGCCCCAAGGTCCCCGTGACAGCTCCTCTGCCGCAGCCAAAGGGTTTCAGAGCAAAGGGGTTCTGTGGGGGCAATTTGGGGTTGTCCATGCAGGGAGGAGCTGCCTAACGTGGTCCTTGTGTCTCCTGTTGCCTTGCAGGACCTCTCACTCCAGGGCCAAGGCAGAGGCGGCTGTGACAGCGGCGCAGAAAGCTCAGGAGGAAGCGCGGATCGCCAGGATCACTGCCAAAGAGTTCTCGCCTTCCTTCCAGCACAGGGAAAACGGTCAGTTCTGAGCCCTGCAGAGACCCAAAACCCCCAAAAATGAGCCCTGAGCAGAGGCTTGGTCTGTGCCCACAGCTCCCAGTCCTCACCAGGACTCTTGGGGTGGGAAGCCTCCCAGTAACACCAGTTTTCAGGAGATTTAGCTCAAGGCTTTCAGTCTTCAACACTTCCACCTTGTTCAGGGCTTTTTTGTCTCCTCTTTTCGCACCAAAACACTCCCATTTTTTTAGTTCGTAGTCTGTGATGGTTGCACAGAAAAAAACCAACAAGAGTTCTGGATGGAAAATGCAAACACAGATGGTCCCAGAGGTCACCACTGATTTTACACCCATGGCTTGTGCGGTTCATGATTTCTCTGGAATGCCTGGACCGGCACACTCTAAGACCTGATCCTTCCCTTGGCTGTGCAAATCAGTCATGTACTTGTGCCAAGGTGTTGGAAAATCCATGTTTGAGCTTTGCCTGGTGGCAGACCCTGCTTTCCTTCCATCTTCTTCAACATTCCTTCCCAGTTTGTCCAGATTTGTGCTCGTTGGCAAGAGGTTCAGTCCCAGCAAAGGCTCAGGGAGGAGAGAGCTGAAGCGAAGCTGTGGTCAGTCAGGGGTCTGCAGGGAAACTCCAAGTCCCCACAGCAATAATTAACATAATAATTAATATATGGGACTGGGTTTATTCAAAAGTTTTCCTGCACCAAGCCCACATTGAGAGGTGTCTGTCATTATTGTCTCACCCTCCCAGCTCTCTAACTGAAGACTACTCACTCAACTTAATTGCTCCAGGGGCTGGTGCTGGTGACTCACGTTCTCTGAGGATGGGAAAAGGGATCATTGGATCTTTTGGCCCAGCCTGCCCATGCCCCAGTCCTCACTTACCCATGCCACAGAGGCTGTGGGGGCAGCCGGGGGCATCCCATGGCTCAGCAGGATGAGCCAGATGGGGTTTGGGGGCTGACTCCAGCCATGGACCTGCCTGAGCTGGGGCAGATCCCCATCCAGGAGACATCCATGGGCATTTTGGGATGGTGGAGCATCCCCCTGGCAGAGCACCAGAGCCCCACGCAGCTCTGTGCTCGCTGAAGAATGCTGAACAACCCCACCCCCCCAGCATCTCTCCTGCCGAGGTGCAATTTGTACATCAGAGATCTGAGCTTTCTCGCAGGTCTGTGTGGTCCCAGGGGCTCCTTCAGCCCTGAGATATTCCTCATCTCCATTTCCTCTTGCCAAGAGACTTTGCTGTTTTAAATCACCTCTTGGAAAGATATTTTTAGGTAATACATTTTTTACTACCTCTCTAGACAGGGACACGGCGCTTGACTTGTGCCGGGGTTCGTGTGGCTGGTGCTCCCGGTTGGGTGTGTTGGGAGTGAGTGAGGGGAGGGGAAGGGAGGCGGTTCCACTTAGAGCACAGTAAAAAACAAACACATCATCCGAGATGTGTCGGGAAACGGGGAAGCGCCTGCCGAGCGACTCAGGCACATAACAGGTGGGAATGGCTGTGACACCCCACGGACCCCGGGACCTCAGGCTGCAAACGGGCGGGGGCTGAATAGGGGTGGGGGAGCTGCCACCACACAGCACGGCATTGCAGGGGCTCTACGTGCCCACCTTGCACAGGATTGTGGGTGCTGGATGTGCCCCCCTGCACAGGATTCAGGTGCTGGATATGCCCCCCTTGTTCAGCATCGTGGGTGCTGTGTGCTCTCCTTGCTCGCTGTCATGAGTGGTGAATGTGTCCTCCTTGCCCAGGATCACGGGTGCTGGATATACCCACCTTGCACAAATGCCACGGATGGTCTGTGTGCCCTCCCTTCCACAGGACTGCGGGTGCTGGATGTGCCTACCTTTCACAGGGTTGTGGGTGCTCTATGAGCCCCCCTTGCACAATTGTGGGTGCTGGAATTGACTCCCTTGCACAGGATTCGGGTGCTGGATGTGCCCCCCTTGCACAGCACTGTGGGTGCTGGATGTGACTCCCTTTCAGGGTGTTGCAGGTCCCGAGTGCCACCTCCTGTGCACACTGTAATGGGTGCTGTGCCACCCACACCATGGGTGCTGGATGTACCCTCCTGGCACAGCATCGTGGGTGCTGGATGTGCTCCTTGCAGTGTGGTGGGTGCTGGGTACCACCCACCTTGCCCAGTGAGTGCTGTGGGTGCTGGGTGTCCCCACTTTGCAGGGTTTTGGGGGGGCTGGGGGACACTCACAGAGGGGTTCATGTCCACCACCATCCTGTCCTGGTCATTCCCACAGAACAGACTCCAGACCTTCAGGCAGAGGCTCCAGCAACCCCTTTAGGGGCGAGGTAAAGGTGTTTACCTGGGAAAAATGAAAATATCCCTGCTTAGTATCCTGCATCCTCTCCCCTGTGGTTTTCCATCTCCATCAGCCACAGGGATCTCTCCCACCCCCATCACTCTCCCTGTGGTCGTTCCTCCCTGGTTCCTGGATGCAGCAGGGTCAGTCCATGGTGCTGGTGAAGCGAGTCCCCCAAGGTGACAGCAGCACACCAGTGTCAGAGGCAGGAGCTCAGCACCGCACCCAAATCCCAAACGTGGGTGCTCCGGGTGCCCGGGGGCACAGGTTTGGCTTTGAAGCCTCCTGGACTGGGCACAGCTGCCTCAATCCTGCTGGAAATCCACAGTCAGTGCTCCGCACCCTCCTTCGCGCTCTCACAGCCGTTCTTCCAGGAATATCACGTGCTCCACGACTAATTTTAGCTCGGAATAATTGTTGCACATCCTCGGGTGTCGAAAGCCGGCAGGACGGCACCGGAGCATCTGCCGGATTCCTGCGGGAGGAAACGCCTGGATCCCTGCGGGCTCCGGGACTGGGGGGCAGCACCTCATCCCTGCTCCTCCCAGAGCCCCAGCCAGGGGCTGCAAAACTCAGGGAATTAACCCATGGAGAGGCAGAGTTAGACCAGCTCATTGCAGGTGTGGGTGGGGAACATTTAGGATGAGGTGGGGCTTAATAACATGATGTGGGTCTCCAGGGTGAGGATGCTGGAGCATCACTGGGCTTTCTTGCCCCTGTTGTGGGGCTCTGAGGATCAGGGAAGGTGCAGGAGTGGTGGGTGTAGCAAGGCCATGGCTGGTTGTGCCATTGGAAATCAGCTCCTCGGAGCTGGTGGGAAGCTTTCAAATCTCTGGAACTCCGGCAAAAGCCCTGGAGACCTGAATTGTGGAAGATTCCTGAGACAAACGGGGACACGCGAAGTCTTGGGTGAGCCCGTTCCGACAGGTGGCTTTCCAACTTTCTCATACAAAGCCCTTTATTCCCTCTGTGCCTCAGTTTCCTATTTGTGGTATCAAAGGCTGGCTGGAATGGGAATGTCTGAACAACAAAATCAGTTTGTATTTTATCCCAGAGACATTTATTCTGCATGAAAACAGAGGGGGTGAGCTCCACCTTTGTCCTTCACAACAATTTCCCGCCACTATCAGGATTCCTCAGCAGCCTTGGATAAATCCCAGGAAATTCAGTCTCCAACATACAAACAGGGACACAGGGAACAAACTAAGGCTGAACTGAGTATTGTCTCCAGAAATTGAGTCATTAGGAGATCATTTTCTATAAATTGCTTCAGTAGGAGATTTCTAAGCTTGTTACTATTTACCTCCCCTGTAAGAGCTTTGATGGGGACATCCAGCCTCACACTGCCATGTGCCCCACATGTATCCCAACCCTGACGTGGTGGGACTTGGGAGTAGCTCTGGGTGAAGGCACATCCCAGCACCAGAAGCTCCCCAAAAAGATGTGAAAGAGAAAATTCCTCAACAGAAGTGGAAAGATCAGAGCAGGCACTTCCAAGCATTTATTTTTAAACAGTGGCAAGAAATTGAGCTCTTCCTTTTGGAGCCTCATTTCTTGTCTGGCCATGGCAATCGCAATTAGACACATTTCAGGGGCATTAGGCACTTAATATATTTATCAAATTATTCCCGTAATTTAGCATGGCTTTAGCTGGGAACAACTTGAGAGGGGAAAATGAGAATTAACCACTATTAGCTTGAACCGCCTTGAAATAATTCGGTGTTTCATCAATGATTAACAAGTTGGAGTTTTTTTGTTACTGTCCAGAGAAGTGAAGTGTTCCTTCAGCAGCAGAAGACATTCAGTCCCTTAGAAGTCCCTGTCCCCAGGGAGACACTGTCTGGGGAATCTCTGGGTTTGAAGGGAATGAAGAGACATCAGCAGGATGTAATAAGGAGGATGGTGTATGTTGTACGTGGTCCTGCCTGTGTATGTGAGGCACAGCCACCTGTGTCCTCTCCAGCACAGCCAGGGGGGCTGAGGAGGGAAATGTCCATGTCCTCCTGGTCCGTGTGGAACAGGAAAGCTCTCGGATAAAAGGTTTGTGGGATTTTCCTTGCACATCTGATGTGGCCATCTCCTTATGAAACCTTTGAGGTGAGATTTCCCTTCTGCAGCTCACAGCTGTAAGCTGAGGTGTTTCCCATCCAGGAGAGGTGTGGGGGCTGTTGGCATGGGATGATCCGTGGGGTGTCCAGGAGCACACAGTGATCCCAGTGGCACCCAGCACTCATGGGGTGATCCCAGTGATGCCCAGCACACCCACAGAGCACAGGGTGAGCTGTGAGCTGCCACCAGCCACATCACACATTTCCCTTCTCATGCTTCCAGACGGGGACCTGATGGGAAAAGGTGATCAGGTGGATCCCAAAAAACCATACTAACCCCCTGCAGCAGCTCTGCATTGCTAGTGGCTTCCCCATGTCCCTGGGGCTACAAAACCATTCCCATGCCGGCTGCAGCCGCTCGCACCGGGCAGCTCTGCGGGTGCTGGGGGTGATGTGAGGGCAGGTTTGGTGTCAAACCAGCGGTGCCTTTCTCTTGCTCCAGTGGCAGCAGCTGTTTATTGTGCTGTGGTGCTGCTGTCCCGATCCCACCCCGCTGTTCCCCACCATCCATCACTGTTCTGCGAGATGAAAACCCCGGCGGGCACCCACAGAATAGAAATAACCCTGTCGCCTTTCTCTCCCCCTTTCTCCTCCCCCTTCACGGCTGCACAAAAAGGACTCGAATGCCAGAGACCGAAGCGCCAGAACTCGAGCGATGACATTGAGGTCCTGTCCACCGGGACCCCCCTCCAGCAGGAGAGCCCCGAGCTGTACCGCAAAGGGACCACCCCGTCCGACCTGACCCCCGACGACAGCCCGCTGCAGAGCTTCCCTGCCAGCCCCTCCTCCACGCCCCCCCTGGGCCCCTCCTGCAGGAACAAGAGCGCCCACTTCTCCAGGCAGGTCTCGGTGGACGAAGAGAGGGGTGGGGAGATCCAGATGTTGCTGGAGGGGCGTGGCGGGGATTACCTGCGACCCAACAGCTGGAGCAGCGAAGAGAAGGCCGGCGGGACGCGCGGCGTGAGAAGCGGGACCCTGCGCGCCGGGCAGCTGGGGGCGGCCCCCGCCCCTGAAGACTACAGAGGTCGGAGCGGAGGACACAAACACTCGGCCTCCAACCACAAGCAAAGAGAGAGGTGGACAGATTCCCCTGCCACGGTTTCATGGACTTCCCACCACAGGTCCCACAACCACAGCTCAGGGAGCTCCAAACTGCTTGAGCTGGACGAGGAGAAGATGAGCAATTACGAGATGGAGATGAAGCCCCTCATGAGGATGGATTCTTATATGCAAGAGATTCACACCCAAAAAAGACACTACAGCAAAGGGGGAGGCTGCAGGAGCATGGCTGACGACCACCGTGGGGAAGAGCGGGGCTTCGGGGTTCAGAGACTGAGGTCTAAGTCCCAGAACAAAGAGAATTTCAGGCCAGCTTCCTCTGCAGAGCCCACGGTGCAGAAACTGGAAAACCTGAGATTCGGGGACAAAGCTGAACCTCGGCTACTAAGGTGGGACTTAACCTTCTCCCCGCCACAGAAATCTTTACCTGTTGCACTAGAATCTGAAGAGGACAGTGGGGATGCGCTCAAATCCAGTACGGTGAGTAGGAGAAACTGTGTGTGGAAATCTGGTGGAGAAACCTGGTGCTGTTGTGGGTCTGGGATGGGAAGGAAAACTGAAAATCCTGAATTATTGTTGGGTTTTGCCTTGACTCCCCCCTTCCTCACTTCTCCCATCCTATGAGGTTTTCCCTGCAGGCTGTTGTGGTGGGAACAGCAAGATTTTCACTGGAGGATGTGAGCAGCAAGTTTGAGTTTGTTTTGCAGCCCAGCTCCTGGTACAAATCCATTATTGCTGGGAATCTGGTGGAAAAGCTGCAGGAGTAGACAAGGCATTGGTGATGGTTCCTTGTGTTTTGGTGATGGCAACAGAACTTCACGGTGGTCCAGGAGTGTGTGGAGGACAACCCCTTGTGAGACATCCCTCCCTGGGCTCCTCATTTTGGGAGGGATAAGGATACTTTGGGCATAAGGATACTGCTGGGAAGAGCAGGAGGTGTTCAGGCCAGAGGAGAGGAGACAGAGTGATCTTCAAACACATAAAAGCTGCTGCAAAGTGGAAGGGAATAATCTGTTCTCGATGAACAGAATTAATGGGCTTAAATTCAAGCCTTAGAGGAGGGGTGAGCCATTAGCCATTGCTAATGAGTTGAGGGCTGTAATTAATTGCCTGGGGAGGCTGTGCTGGATGGGGGGAGGAGGGGGTCTAAGACCTGGTTGTACATCAGCAGCTCAGATGGAACCTGGGCAGAGCTGAACCTCCTTGGGAGGAGGCTGAGCTGTGTGATTTTCAGGTTCTTTGCCACCCTGGTTTTTGATGATTCCTGGATTTATCATTGGAAGCTTCCTTACTTCCTCACTTGTTCTCCCTGTTGCTTTGGCATTGCTGGAAGAGTTCATGGGGGTCTGATGGGAGCAGTGGGGAAGCTACCACTGCCCCAAATTGCCCCTTGTCGAGTCAGCACCAAACACAGGGCAGGGCTGCAGGTCCCATGCTGGATGTCCCAGACCTACACAGGAGAAATGGAAAATCTATAATGCTCAGGCAGTGATATTTCAGGCTCTGGCAGAAGAAAGGAGCTAAATCTCCCTGTCAGGGGAGCAGAGGATGGTGCTTGGTGGTTTGGGGTCATGGAACTGAAATGGATTTGTCAGTCACGCTGAAAATTTGGGCTCGAGGCATGGTGGTGTGTAAGGGATGATTCCCGTTGCCATACCTACAGCATCCCTGCTCCTCCAGCGCTCTGCCAGCACAGCCAAGGTGTTGGCACCTCCAAAGGTGGGAGAGAGGAGAGAGTGGTGGCATCTGCAGCCCAGGAGCAGCCAGGATGCAGGAAGGACTAAACTACAGATCTGCCACAGCTTCCCTGCTGTGGCTGTGGATAAATCCCCCCCACACACAGCCCTGAGCTTTCTGCCTTCCTGTTCATCCTGTGAGCTCAACGCAGGCTCGGGAGCACCCACATGGCTCTGAGGGGGAGCTGAGCACGGAGTGTGCTGGTGTCTGCTCTGCAGGATATGTCCTGTCAGCCCTGAAAACACAGAGCTCCAGTGAATTCAGCCCTGAGCACACCCCACTGAGCCAACCCGCGGGTGCTGAACCATCCAGGCTGTCCTTACCTGCCTGTGTGGATGCCTGGAAGCACTGGAGACATGACAGGCAGCATTAGGAGCCTGACAGGCTCTCACAGGGGAAGAGCAGCAGCAGTAATTGCGCAGACACCAACCCTGTTGAAAGTCCGTGGGACTCACAGATGCTGCAGCATCTTTGACAACATGACCTCCCATGGCAGCAGGGAGCTGGGAGAGACATGAATCACAAAGGAGGGATGAAACCACAGTTTCTCCTCACGGGGAGCCACACGATCTTCAGGAGATCTCTGGCACAAACAGTCCTGGGGTCTCTCCCCGCCCACCCCACGTCAGACGCGCTGCCGAGACTTCCACCTCACACATAAACCTCCCTCCACAACACTGGAGGAAAATAGCCACTAACACAACATCACTGGCTATTTCCAGGGAGTCCTGGGCACTAGGGAAGGGGCACAGCCTGCATGGAAAAGCGCATGGAAAAGCCATTAGGATGCACATCATACTTGTGAAGTGCTGTAGCTGTGGAGCAGCATGTTCAGTTTTCTCACATTCATAACCGAGGGTGGAACAGATGGCGAAGGTTTGGGAGGAAGCTAATGTAATACAGAGGAAGAGATAATATGTGGATTTAAATAACCTACAATGCCAGCAACAATTTGTTCTAGCAGGAATTGCACGGTGCTAGCAGGGTTTGGTTCCAGGGGCCTGGCAGGGAGGGGGTGGTCAGAGAGGAGCAGGGGAAGGTGTAGGAAAGGAATGGGATGTGTGTTCCAACCTCCTGCCTAAACCCATGACCTTGCCTGCACTTGCCATCAAGGCCCTCAAAGCATTTCAAATTTCAGTGAATGTAGTGAGTCCCTGAGGAAGAGGAGGGTCAGACTAAGGGGGAAAGATTTATCCCACAGTCCCCATATCCACCTCCGTGTGTGCGCTCAGCAACGCGGAACATTCACCATTCACACACTTAATCCTGCAAAAATCCACTGCATCCTGCTCATGCTCCAGCTCTCTCCACACAGAATGAAGGCTCCCCAGTTTCCCCAAAATCTCCATTTCTCACACTAGGCTGAAATTCCCCTTCCCTTTGTTCTCCCTGGTGAGCATCGGCTCCGGGGCAGGGCTGGCTGCACACGCATGTCCGTGCACACGTGTGTGTGTGTGTGTGTGTGTGTGCGTGTGCCCACACTGCCTCAGCTTGCATGACAGCCTGCTTCCCTGGGATCCACAGCACTGCCATCTGGGAAGCTGCTCCCTGCAAAGGGCATTTCTCATCTCCCAGGCAGCTGGGCTGTTCCAGAAAGGTGCCTGCCAATGAGCAGGAAGGATGCTTGGAGCTGAGTAGGGCTATTTTTGCCCTACCTGGAGTATCCCTGTGCTGAACTGAGGTCACCCTCCCAGCTTAGCTTGTTTTAAAAATAATCTGCCATAAACCAGCTCTACACAAGCCATCAATGAGCCCAGTGAGCTGGCTCTGTGTTGAAGTGCCAGCTCCAGCTTTCAGACAAGGTACACCTCTGGCAGTGCTCACCAGAGAAGGCTCAGGATGCAGGGCTTACAAAAACACATTCCAAAAAAACACTGCTCTTGATTTCTCTGGACCAGCTGGAGGCTGTGGGGTCCCTTGTATCCAGCCTTTTCCATCCCTGCACACGTAGGGATGCACACTCCAGGCAGGAGTCAGACTTACAGGTTGCTCTATGAGCTGTAGGAACTTTTCTCTGTCATTTTTCACCAGTCCTTTTAAAGAAGCTCCCATTTGTTGGAGCTGCGCGTAAGTAATTGAAAAATACTCTTAGGAAGGTCATTTCTTGAGGCCACTACTCAATAACACTGATGAAATTCAGCCCTTCATGGTGTTCGCTCTCAGGGGATTTGGGGGTTACGGGGTCATTGAGCCAGTGCTGAGGCCACACAAACGCTTTAAAATTACATTTAAAGCCACCTGATCTCTCTGTGTCTCTGTGTGCACTGACCCCTCATGCACAGAACAAACTCCCATCAATTGTCAGTGTTGGGGCAGAGGGAAATGGGAACCAACGTGCCGGGACCAGTGTCGGTGTTGTCGGATTAAGGGATTTATAGGAACGTCACCATCCTTTCCATCCTTAAATGCCCACAAGGCACAAAGCTCAAGCCTGTGCCTGGATGCTTCACAGGTTCCTGGAGCCTTTGAGGAGATCTAAAATGGGAAAGGAAAAAAGGAATTGTTGAGAGACTGAGAAGGGAAAGTGGCATTCTAAAACGCCAGCAACCCTTTTTTCCATCAGCACAAAACACAGCACATTGTAGGGCTGGGGGAAAAAAAAAGAGACCAGATCTCCTTTTCTGCAGGTGCTGAACATCTGCAGCTTCTGAGAGGGAAAAGAAGGGCTGTGGGCACAGAGGAGCTCAGCAGGCCCGCGGGAAGGGACGGTGCTCAGGCACGAACGGAGCCTGATTCATCTGCCTGTCCTCGTTTAGCAGGAGCAATCACGGCCGTTTAGGTGGAGACTTCCAGGGACACGTCGTGGTCTCACTTAAAGGCACCCTGGAGACGTGAGTAGGCTCGAGACTTGGCCCTTTAAAATCCCACTGTCTCATCGCATCGAGACCGATGGGAGGGCAGGAGCCAAAAAAAAACCCCACCCCGGCCACCCCTGACATTTCCTTGCACCGTCACACGCTGGCGGATAAAATCCCAGCGCTCTCAGCTGTTTGCTGCCTCCTCCCGCAAACAAACCCGCGGAAAAAAAACCTGCAGCAAAGGCAGTTCAGAGGCATCTCCTGGGTGAGGGATCTCCAAGAGACCCCCCTGTCCCCCCCAGGTCCCCGCGGGGGAGGCGGGGAGGAATTCCAGCAGCTGCAGCATCTCCCTCCCTCGCGCGGCGAGCGAGGGGCGTATTTGCCATCAAGATATTCCGAGCAGGTTTCGCTGTCGCTGGGGAAAGTGAGGAGGAGGCAGCCAATCTGCAGCAGGAGCAGGGATCTGCCGAGCGCTCCGCGCAGCCGGAGGGAGCCGAGGGAGGGATCAGGGCAGGGGGCTCAGCACGGGCTGGCACGGGACGGGGAGGAGGGGATGGAGCGCCAGAAATGGCACCTCCCCACTGATGCCGTGAGGGATGCTCCCCTTTTCCAGCGCTGTGGGGTTATTCTTGAAGGGATTGACCTCGAGCTGGTGTGTTTTCTTCAGAGAAGTTGGGCACTTTTAGCCCTAGAGATTGTAAAATGAGTTAAAAATAAGAACTGGGTGTTTTCTCTGTCCCAAAGAGGCACCCACTGTTTGGGTTGTGCACAGAGATGCTCCCATCTGTCTGCCTTGGGACCAGTCTGTTGGGAAAGGCACCTGGGGACTTGTTTGGCATTAACCTCCCTGGGATTGAACCCCACAGCTTATCCCTGTGGTTTTAGTCTTCCAGCTTCAGGTTTTTCCATTTATTTTTTCCCCGTCGGGAGCCATCCCCAGGTCTC